CAGCATTGTGATGTAAGAATTCGTATAGGAGGATTCTTCTTTGGTAGTCCCATTTCTGAGGGATGTAGGGAGGCTGTGAAATGGAAAGGTATCGGGCGGTTCGAAGCAGAGTTTGGGTGCCTGGCGGCTGTGGCATGGCTGGTATGTGTCGTTGTGACGTGGTATATTTGGTTTACGTGAAGCCCGATCCTCCTGTATACAAAGACCCTTCGGGATCATCTCTTTGAGTTATTCTACATCTAATCATATACACCCATGCCTTAGAGTGCCAACCCAGTGGCCCCAGACTTGGTATCTTCCTCATCCCCATCACCGTCAACTTCCTCAACCAACCTGCCCAGCATCTGCGTATAACTCGGTCTAAATGGCCAGTTCATCCACGCCTCCATAATTTCAGCCCACTGATCGGCATTCATGGCTCGCACGGTGAGCGCCCCATTCCCTGTCATGGGCGTGCCCCCGCGACTCGGATCCCTCACACTAGGGCATTCCGTAAACAAGTCGCCAAATCCGCCCCAGAGGCCCTCCATGGCCTTTTGGATGGGTAGCAGCGTGTGATGGAACCAGAACCGCAGCATGACCTCGGACATGTCGCCTGAGCGTGAGCTGTTCGGACCGTGTTGCCTGAAGACAGGGTGCATAGCCTTTGGCTGTATGTCAAGCAGTGCTGTCGGCGCATTGGGGAAAAATTCTTCCCCCTTTGCGGACAGGGGCTCGTAAGCCCTCCTGTCCCAGAGCAGTGCTGGTGGTGACTGGCGGAAGAGGTGGTAGCTATCCTTGATTCCGTTGAACTCGTTGCGTGAGTTCTTTGTGAGATTGTCGATTTTCTCGTTCCATGCCGCATTGGCCTGTTCAAACTCGGTTGGCGAGGATACTGCCAAGTTCGCCATTGTGTCTCTCTCCTGGAGCAGGCCCAGATACATGAGTGCATCTTTTTGGTCGTATTTTCCACGCTGTCGCAGCGCCTTGAGTCGCTTTGAGGACTCGGCTGATTCAGAGAGCCCCTGCTCAAGCAGCTCAAGTTCTTGTTTGAATGGTCGTGTTAGTGATGGCGGTCTTGCACCCGCCAGTTTCTGCCCCAGTAGCGCAGGCTCTCGTTGCAGCTTCGAGTATACCAGCGTCTCTCGTCCTTTGGGCATGGACAATCCGGCAGCTTTCATCCGTTCAAGTGTCTGACAGGCTGACTCCATGTTGATCCATTCATCGCGGAGTGCATTGCGGTCTTCTACTTCGGCATCCAATCCGGCGACTTCATGGACCCATTCACACGACAACTCGGCCTCAAACGCGCTCTTCTTGCGTCTATTGGTGGACCGAGGCAGTAACCTTCTCTTATCTTCGTCATTAACCCATATAAGCATACGGACCAGCCCGTATCGCTGAAATAGCGTTGACGTGCTTATACTGGAAATGAATTGGTACAAAACCATAGAACTAATGCTGTCGAATCCGTGAAATGCCTTCTTTGGAAACATGGACAAATTTGCCGTGACAAGAAGGGTGTCGTTACGGCTAGGCGTATCTTTCTGAGAAATTTCTTGCTGGTCGGATAGACTTGTGTGAAGCATTCCGAGGAGGTCTTTCCATACCAGCCCGGATTTTGGCAGTAACTCGACATTGTCCTTTGATATGAGGTCGGACAGAAAGGGTTTGTACAGCTCGGCATCGAGATCCATCATGACATGCTTGCGCGGTTCAAGGAATTCATGCAGTTTGCGGCTCCATACTCCCGCCCCAGGGTTTAAATCGACAAGGTCGCATCCTCGATGTCGTTCGAGCGAAGGCGCAATATAACGTATGACATCGTCTGCAACCTTCCGGATTAGATTCGAGAAATGTAAATCTGCGGATTCTGAGTTACCATACCACACAAGCCCTCGCTGACTATATTGACTCTGCGAGGTTCAATGGCCTGAATTGCATCCGCCTTCTTCCGCCCTCCAGTTCGTTTCCACACCCCAGTAAGATTTAGCTGATGCGCAATATCGCTGGTCACTGAGAGCATTGGCGAGGTCTTTGACTTTGACTTTGTTTTTCCTGCTGGTTTTTCTGCCGCTTCTGCCGCCGACTTTGCCGATTTGGCTTTTTCTGGCTTCGCCAATTTCGCCTTCGGGACTGTCTTTGCTTTCACAGCTTTCACAGCTTTGGCAGTCTTCGACTTCGTGGTGGTTACCTTGCCGCGAGCTTGTAGCAAGACCGGCCGAATAGCCAACCTTGCGAGAGAATTGTGGCCATGATGAAATGGTGCCAGCATCAAGGAATGATGTTGATGTTACTCGCCAAATGCAGTGGTGCTACGAGTTCATTGCAGGTTCAAGGTTTGGTATGATGTTTCAGAGCTTTCTTTCCCTGTCGGATCCGTCATGCATTGAAAAAGGGTCCACATCCTTGCTCTCGGAACCAGCAGCACCAGAAAGTGGCCCTGCAGGGGCACGAATTTTGTCACCAAATCAACCAGACATTGGTAAAGCATTGCGAAAGTCAAGATCTTGTTTACATTACTCGTAGGTATCGGTGAAAAAAAGGAAAAAAAAAAAGGTAGAAAGGCGTCTAGATGTCTTCCAGTCGTATAATAATTTAGTTGTGTGCGCCAAGCTCCTCCATGACTGAGCAATCCCAAGTCCAGCATGTCCACGAGACAAGCTATCCTGGGTTGCCGTCTCCTATAGGCTCTGAAAGTACGGACCAAGTAACAGAAATACCAAAACCCCTACGGAGCACGCCAACTCCAAAGAATCAATATAAATCCGCAAGCTCGCCAAATGCCACATAAAACTCCAGAGGACGCCGCCATGCTATATACTTGTGTATCGTACCGGGCAGATTTGCACCATACTAGGCACCTTCACTTCCAAACTCATTGGTCCAGTCGATTTGCTTCTCAATGTCCTCTTTGGATACTGTAGGGTGCGAATCCTCTAAAGCCATCTCAAAGTCCTTCAGCGAGACGTCGGGCGCCAAGAGCTCGTCTGAATTGACGCCGTCGTATGTCATTTCGATCTTCTCAGGGTCACCTGGAGAGCACGGCGTCAACATCCTCTTTCCGTCTTTCATGACCTGTCACGTGTTAGCAAATTCCTCCACTATGGGTTTGATTGAGGTCCAATCCTACAGGTTTGAAATGCGTAGCTTGCAAAATCTTGCGAACAGGGCGCATAAGAGCATGTTGCACCACATTGGCAATATCGCTTCCGGAGAACCCATCCGATTTATTGGCAAGCGTATTGTAATCGCCAGCTTGCAAAGCAGTGTCGGTATCACCAACGGCAAGCTTGAACATTCTTGCTCTACCATTGAGGTCTGGGAGGCCAATGTGCACTCGTCTTTGGAATCGTCGACGAATGGCTGCGTCAAGTTGCCAGGGAATATTGGTTGCGCCGAGGACAAGAATACCCTTGCTATCATTGCCAACACCATCCATTTGGACGAGGATCTCGGTCTTGATGCGTCGAGAAGCTTCGGATTCTCCCTCACCACGTGGACCGCAAAGAGCGTCAATTTCGTCAATGAAAATGACCGACGGCTTGTTCTCTCTTGCCATGGAGAAGAGAGCCTTTACAAGTCTACAGGAGGCTAACTGTTAGCATACCGATATATCACTGTCGACTCCTGAAGGATTATCCCACCTTTCACTTTCACCCATCCACTTGCTCACCAAGTCTGAACTGCTGATGCTGAAGAATGTACTGTTGGCTTCCGTTGCAACGGCCTTGGCAAGATAACTTTTTCCAGTACCCGGGGGACCGTAAAGCAAAATACCCTTCCACGCTTGACGTTTGCCCTGGAACAAGCTGGGAAATTTGATGGGTAACACAACAGCTTCTTTGAGAGTTTCCTTGGCCCCTTCTAGACCAGCAATATCCTCCCACCGAACATTTGGTCTTTCTTGCAAAATGGCCCCGGACAAGGCATTCCTGAGCTTTTTGCTGTCGTCGTCCTCGGGAGCACCTTTGCCTTTGCCTGTGCTTGCGCCATTTGCACCCATGAGAGCTTTCCCGCCGTTGGCGTTGGTGTCGGCCTCAGACTGTAGGAATTGTTTGAGCTTTTCGGCACGATCGAGATACGTCGCCATCTTCTCTTGCATGGTTGCCTTGAGAGCCTTGTTCTTCTCCCATTTCAGGGCCTTGACCCATAACTCCATGCTGGACATGTAGAGATCGAACGCCTTCTGATATTCCTTGGCATGGTCAGCAGCAATAGCTTTCTGGACCTCGGCGATGGCCCGGTCGCGGAAATTTGTTGACATGGTGACACAGTCTTGCGATGTACGGTTTGCGGAATCGTGTAGAATCGGAGCAGTGCACGGAATAGAGAGGCGTGCGAACAAGCGAGATCGGACGGCGCACGTAACACAGCTCGCAGACGCGCTCCTCGACGGATTTAACGTAGGGTCAGTTAATATAGTCGGAGCAGGAGCAGCGAAGGGCGAAGTCGGTGATGAGATGTTGATGCAGTCGTGGGCGTTGTTGGGACTGGCAACATCAGAGTCATCAAGTCCACATGAGAAAGCTAACGTGAGGGTTAGTTGATTGGTACCTGGTCTTGTTTGGATTGGCGGGGTAACAGGCAGGTATTGGAGTCGAGTGGCGGGGGGGCTTGAAATTACTCCAGAATTCTTTTTGGCTGCCACCTACGCAAGCACGAAAGTATTTTTCATTGACATACTTGACTTGTCGTTTACTGAGCTTTAGTTGATTCCCAGATGGCCTGGTGGTTGCGAGAGTGCGATTAAGGATCTACTTTGTCCTTGCCCTTTTGTGCCTTTGCCTGCACCTGGTGGGGCAAAGCGTGTCGAGATATCTGGAGACAATTTGATGGGGCTCGAAACCAACCGTTGAACGTCAAGACTTTAATGCACTTGGACTCATTCGAGACAAAGGTGTGCCGGCACGACAGGAACTACGCCAAAATATAAAGACCAGAGCCTTGAACCAGGTCAGGTGCGGATAGACCTTCCCACCGTACCCTACGCCGCGCCTGTTGTCTCACGCTCAATAGCCATGGCTGAGATCCAAGCCAAGCTCCAGACTCTGTCTGACGAGTACCAGAAACTTCAGCAAGGTAAGTTTCAACTAAAAGGAAGGCCGAATGGCCCAATTAAGACTATGTAATAACATATCTCTGCCAGACTTACAAAACACCGTAAACTCTCGGCAAAAATTACAAAGTCAACAGCAAGAGAACGCTGGTGTCTTCAAGGTTTGACGAACCGATTTCACCACCCAATCGAAATCGGCCGGGTATCTAACGCAGGACATAGGAGTTTGAAAAGCTGGGGGAGGATGAAACCATCTATAAGCTCATGGGTCCTGTGCTTCTGAAACAAGACAAGGTTGAGGCAGAGAGCACCGTTAAAGGGCGTCTAGACTTTATTGCAGGCGAAGTGTAAGTTCATTGTTCGACAGTTATTGTTTGGGAATGGGAGACATGACTAACCTGGAAATTCTAGAACGAGGCTGGAGACACAGATCAAGGAGACTCAGGACGAGCTTGAGAAGAAGAAGGCGGAAATCATTCAAATCCAAGCCTCCGCTCAAGCCGCTGCGGGCGGAAAAGCACCTCAAAAATGATACTAGATTCCTATGGAGAAGAAAAATAGGATGATATACCCACGTGAAATTTGATATCGTATGACTTGGTATGAGTGGGATGGTAAATCTTGGATCTTAACAAGGGTGACTATTCTCCCCAAGACTTGGCTCTGCGGTGTAGAATGTTGTGGAATGCGGTTTGCGGACTGGGCAACGTGAAGAAAAGATGTGCCAGGGCCACAGCAGGCATCCTCATCGACGATCTGTTGATGACATATCAGATCCATACGAAGTATTTCAATGTTGCCTCACATAGCGTGGAGTAATAGCCCGCAAGGTCCTCTAGGCAGCTGCGTGTGGCACGTGAGCCGCGCAGTATATTTATGAGCGTCCTCATCAAGGTTCCAACAAGGGACTAGATCTGCCAAGTTTCATCCAGAGCTTTTCTCAGCAGCGGAATAACCGTGGATTTTGCACTTGGACAACTTTAGAATCGACGCGGAAATAATTCCAAAGACGCCCCTTCGCGCGATGCGGCGACCCTGCCACCTGCCCCACCAACATTGAACATCAAACGTCGGAAAGCTGTAGAACTGCCGGCCCACGTCACTCGTCGGTCGAGGTCCACCTCTTGCTGCTCTTGTCACCATTCGCATTCTAATCTCGGTCAATTTTCATACATACCTTCAGGAGCCAGGAGAATGCGCTGAATCCTGGTGCCCGTAGGATGAGCGTATGGGGACTTGCCGTATTACCCCGCGGCCTATTTAGCCTGAGGTTAGAAACGCAAAGCCGAGCGAGGACCACGACCCTGCAGGACGAATCATTGAAATGGATGCTGGATCGGGCATGCGGCCAACACGGCCGCAGAGCGTGAAAGAGCTTGTCGCCCAGGCTGAGAACTTCACTTTTAACGCAAACATTCCGTTCAAGCACTGGACTAGAGCTGCAGAGACGCTTTACCAAGAGGTATGTCTATTCTGGCCGCGGCAATCTACAAGTTCCGTGGTCAATCACCGAGCGGGCTACAGCTACTAACAAGTCCCAAGGCTTCGTTCGCCCTGTCGGACGGCGACTATGGCCGAGCATATATGATGTTGTATCGACATTCAGTGCTGGTCTTGAAATGCCTCCAGACACACCCTCAGTTTAAAGACCCCGAGAGCCGTAAAGCCTTTCGTCCGCTTTCCAAGCGTATAGACCGCGTTATCGCCGATCTCGAAGAAATAAAACCTATAATCAATGACGAATATGCTGAATGGGAGCGATTGAGACCTGCGGACTCGAAACTAGAGGAACAAGGACCAATAAAGTCACCATCAAGTTACGGGGAATTTGCGGCGCGCGACCCCAGCCTGAGCGGCAATGCAACTGTTTTAGACGCATCCGAGAACCAAGAACTGGCTGTAGAGTTGGCGCAGAAGGAGTTGGCGCGGAGAGATACAGTTCGGCAGGCGAACAGACGTACTCGGGTTTACGGAGACACCATTCTTACATCTCGCTTTGGCGATGGCCAAAAACTCGACTTCAGCCTTCAAAGCCAGATGGAAGCTGTTCGAAGAGCCACCGAATCTTCACAACAGGATCTATACGAAAGCCAAACCCACAAGCCAACGTCTACGCCGCATCGAGACGCCGTGCCGCAGTCTTACGTTTACCCGTCAATATCGAAATCGAGACCTCTTCAGTTGGATGAGGCCCCTCAAACACCACCACGACCAGCCAGCTTATCGCCCCCCAGCCGCCCTCCTAAAGAATACATACATGCCCCCCCCAGAGATCTGTCATATATATCTCGACGGGAGTTACCAGTGATTCCGAACAAGGTTCCGGTCGCGGACTCACTTTCGGCACCTTATCCAAGTTATGAGGTAGCAAGGAAGAATCAACCTCCCCTTCCTCCAAAAACACTGGATGGCCCATCACTTCCTAAGAAAGAACGGCTGGCATTCAAACCTGGAGCATATCTCGAAAATGGCGATCCAATCCGTTCTGTATTTCTTCCCAGTAAACTTCGAGCTGCCTTCTTAGATGTCGCAGCTCCAAACACAAACAAGGGCCTGGAAATGTGCGGCATCCTGTGCGGGACACCCGTTAATAACGCATTATTCGTGCGCAGCTTGCTCATTCCAGATCAAAAATGCACGTCAGATACTTGTGAAACAGAAAACGAGAGCGCAATATTTGACTACTGTGCTGGGGAGGATTTGATGGTTCTCGGATGGATTCATACGCACCCAACTCAAACTTGCTTTATGAGTTCTCGAGATTTGCACACCCACGCTGGATATCAGGTTATGATGCCGGAGAGTATTGCAATAGTGTGTGCACCTAGATTTACTCCGTCGTAAGTGTTGGACCCTCTATTGAGCCAGGATGTGTGCTGACAGCTGTTGAGGTATGGCATATTCCGATTGACACACCCGCCGGGACTGGACCATATCCTGGACTGCAGGCAATCGGAAACCTTCCATCAGCACTCGGTTGACAATTTGTATCGAGAAACGGAATATCCAAACGGTCATGTTTACGAGAGCGAGAAGATGCCATTTGAAATCAAAGATCTGAGGAGGAAATGAATGGATGTATAGATGATTGTCAACTTGAGATACGTCTCCCTATGACAGTTACCCGTCAGCTACAAAGTGGTGGACGAGCCACTTAGTTGCTAACGGGTATTGCTAATCTTTGGACAATGCTATACAATCTGGGAGCCATGCATACTCATGATCCATGTTGATACGACGCTGGGATTATAAGCTGACGGCTCACACAAGTTAGGCAAGACGAAAAAAAAAGTATGAAGTACCGGCAGCGTTACTTCTCACACAGTATTCCCAATGAATGGGCATAAGAATACCTGAGAAATAAGACAGAGGTCAAAACGTCCACATATAGAGATTCCCACCTTCATGTCTCATGGGTTGAAAGGATATCGCCCTATTGACTTGGCAGTTAAGAAGAGACGAAAAGGATATATAACCTCATCGATATCTGAACTTGCAAGCGACATTCATTCTTGCCAGTAACGGGAGATTGCATGAATGAAAATACTGAGTACTACTAGTACGTAGTATTGACTAGCGACTAGAGCTTGTACTACATGACAAATAAGAAATTTATTATCTTGACTGAAACATACGGAGTACATTGGTACGATACGTACCTAAGTACCTACCTGGGTACTTAAGTAAGTAGGTAAAGTACGGAGTACATGTACGGATAATGGAGAGGTCTGGCACCATGCCAGTACGGAGTCCCAAATTTCTTTGGACCAGAGATTTTGTACTCCGTACTCTCAGCTCGACCCTTGATGTGCAGATGAGAAGCTGCAAGACAATCATCACGCACGCCTGACACGACCGCAAATTAGACACTAAACAAAAGGAAAAGGCAAAGATCCGCAGCAAATCGGATGCGTGGCTGGCGCGACATCTCCTGCAGGGAACAACCGGTCGCCCCCACGTCCATGAATTCGTCGATTGATGGCGTCCAACTTCGCTTGCAGTGAGCTGAAGACGCCACGAACCAGGTCTGTCTACACACCAACATTCTCATTGGGCTTCAACGGCCGACTTGTTCGGACTCGTCTGCTCTTTGCGAAACGCTGCAATGGCGGCAGGTTGTGATTGTCGTCCGAGCGATGTGTCATCTCTGGCCAGTTGATTGGCGCGGGCACGAGGGAAGCAGTTTGTGTGCAGCCTCCTCAAGGGCCGCGTTCGAATTTGTCAAAGGGAGCATCCACGATCATGCAGGCAGTACTCGATTCAGTACCGAGATCAACCTACTCACCCAGAAATTTCACCCGTGAGCTGGGGGCTACTGCACACCCTTCCGCGATGGAGGAGACGAAAGTCACAGGCAAACACCAATAACTATCTCTCTCGCCCAAACATCTTCATGGGAGAAACTTAATCTGATCATGGTAGTATTATTACATGCTTCACGTGTCAGAAGGAGCGGTCGAATTAAGGAAGTCGCAGAAAGGCGGAGGTGTCACTCTGAAGTTTGAACCCTGACGTTGGCGTATGCTATCGCCCTTGACCAGACGAAAGACTCGAGGACCGGGCCGCAGCTAATAGGGATACGGAGTTTATGTGTCGACAGATCAGTAGTACGGAGTACGGAGTAGTACTTGCAATACCATCGTCTAGACCGAAAATGGATCCCGTCGATGCCACAAGCTGTAGTGCTACGTATGTATTGCACTTCTCAAACCGCTTTCAAGCTCAAGTACTCCGTATTGAGGGACTGAGATTGTGACTGGGGGTACCTGGGCTTGCCAATTATATCGTTTCATCCATGGTTGGTTACCCAAAATGGGTGTGACTTGGGCAGCATCTGGTTCTGGTAGGTGATGTACCACCATCTGCTCTGATAGTAAATTGGCTCCTTTTTCCTTTTTGTACAAGGCGGGGAGAGTCCTAGCTGATATACACTCCATATTGTCTTATAGCTGCACCAGCGACCTGGGGTGAGCGGCATTCTGTGACAGATAGGTGTTGATGGCACTACAGAGTACTACATTAACAACTGACCTCTGTCAAGGCAGGCAAGGGTTCCCGTGCGACATGGTTCGAGGCTTGCGTCCAAGAACCAGATAGGCTAGGTGCCTCACGAAGCTGCAAGAGACGGCCTTGAAGGAGTCGAGCTTGCTTCTCTTGGGAGTGGCTCGCTTGATGCCGTGTCTCAAACCTGCAGAATGACGGAGCAGTGGTTTGTCAGGACCATTGGCCGGGCGGTCTCTTCGCGTATAAAGGTCAACAAGGCCTGCCTGGCGCATGGAACTCGATTTTCTTTGCTAAAGTTATTGCAACTCAAATCTCCAATCAGTCATGTCTCCTCATGGGGAACACAAAGGCGAGAGCGCTACCAATGGCGCGCAAAATGGCGCTCACACAAATGGCACACAGACAAATGGTACACACACAAATGGCCATGACGCTCGAGAGAAGGGAGTCTCTCAGAAGGTTGTACAGCCCACAGAGACCCAAAAGTCGGGAAATAAGAAGACTTCATCCACTGGGGCTTTGATGCAG